AAATATTTCTAGGTGGATGGATGGAGTTAGTTTATACCAATATATATTTCTAGGTGGATGGATGGAGTTAGTCTATACCAATAAATATTTCTAGGTGGATGGATGGAGTTAGTCTATACCATTAAATATTTCTAGGTGGATGGATGGAGTTAGTTTATACCAATATATATTTCTAGGTGGATGGATGGAGTTAGTCTATACCATTAAATATTTCTAGGTGGATGGATGGAGTTAGTTTATACCAATATATATTTCTAGGTGGATGGATGGTGCTAGTCTATACCAATATTTATTTCTAAGTGGATGGCTTTAACACAGGGGAGACGATACAACAGGAAAGGCTGCTACCCAGAAAGGTTGCTGGAACTGTGGAAAGCAAGGACATATGAGGAGCCAGTGTAAGAAGAATATTACCAACAAGTCAGCCTCAAGGAGACCAGTAGTGCTTGGTGTTGAAGGACACTCACCAACCCCCATCCTGAAAGTCACAACAGCTATGTGTAAAATGCCAAGCACACATAGTGTCTATGTGACAGGAAAGCTGGATGGCCAAAAGTGCAACTTTGTCGTAGATTCTGCGTCTCAGCAAACCCTTGTGAGCATCAAGGTGTTAGATCATGAAGAAGTACTAGAAGCCATACAGAAGCTTTGTGGTGTGACAGGGCATTCTGCAAGGTTGTGAGGACCAGTGTGGGTAACTATTGAGCTCATGGGCATAAAGGACAGACAGAAAGTATACTTGGCTGACGTTGAAGACCAAGGCATATAAGGATTGGACTGTCTACTACCGAGGAATTTTGTAATTGATTTTGATAAAATGACGTTTGGGAACAACAAAGACCAAGTTCCTGTAACTGTTAAAAGATAGGTTGAACTAATTAGGTGCCATCAAGCTGAAGTCAAGTTGACTGAAAGAGTTGATGATGATGAAGTGGAACCAAATATAGATATCAAAGCAGAACAGGAGAAAGACCAAGATTTGAAGCCAATAACTGATTTTCTAAAAGCAAGTGTTGTGCACCCTGCTTGGGAGAAGGTGTCTAGTCTAAGCCCTGTGACAAAGAACTATTGAGCACAATGGGAACAGTTGAAACTAGAAAATGGTATTCTTCTCCGGAGATGGGAAACTACAGATGGGAAAGTGACGACATGGCAAACAGTTATACCGAGGAAGTTACGGGAAGTTGTGCTGCGTCGATCCCATGATAAATTAACAGGAGGACATCTCGGAATTAAGAAGACATTGAGTCACTTACGACAAAGATTTTACTGGTTAGGTATGAGGCGAGATGTGGAAGAATGGTGCAGGACATGCAGTACATGTAGTGCTAAAAGGGGACTCAAGCATGAGGGAAGCCCACCTTATGAAGAGTTGCCTGAGAATGTGTCAGAATTCGTGAAAGTGTTATCAGAAAGGATGGATGATATTCACCATCAAGTGCGTTCAGACTTGAAAACGTCTGCTGATTCGATGAAGCTATCTTATGGTAAGAGATATACTGAAGTCAGCTTTGAACCAGGAGGCAAAGTGTGGTTGTATAATCCCAGGAAGACCAAAGGGAAGTCTCCTAAGTTGTCTTCTCCATGGGAAGGCCCATATGACATAATGGATCGTCTCTCAGACGTGACTTTCCGAATCAAATGTGGTCGGCGTGGCAAGCCAAAAGTGGTGCATGACCAACAGGCGTTGGCGTTATCATATCACGGTCCAGGACATTTCAGTTGGAACGAAATTGAACAACAGAACAAATGACGCTGCTGAAGATGTGTCACCTGAAAAAGCCACTGTTGAAGAAGGAACTCTATTCAGTTTTGAGAAGGGAAACAGTGTAGCTCTTGATGAATTTACTACCACTGATGTGACTTTTACCGATGATAGGACATTTCCTGATGAAGCAGATGAACCCCACATGAAGCAGAAGCCAACGAGACGGAAGCCACGGAAGAAGATACGTCCAGTAAAATTAAGAGACTTTGTTGAGTTGTAATTTTGTGATTGTAATTCTGTACATTTAAT